CCAGGCAACCACTAATCTATTTTCCGTCTTTACAGATTTGCCTATTCTGGAAATTTCATATAAATGATATCACATACTCTGGTATTTTGTGAGTGGCTTCCTTCATTTACCACTCAAGGTCTTAACAGTTGGTTTTGTTTTTTGTTTTTTTAACCTAGCCTCTCCCAACCCCCACCTTTAATTAGACCACACAGCCAAGGATCACATTCAGAGTGACATCATGGGAAAGCCTCTAATGAAGATACAGACCACAGCAAACACACACACACACACACACACAAACAGCTTGAAGGAAATAGATACTATATGAGGCAGGGAGCAGGGCAGGAGGGAAATACCATTAATACTCTCACAAAAATGAAATAAAATTACAGCCATGAAATGAAAATAGAATGCTATATAAAGGAAACACCAAGAGGACAAAAAAAGAGCACTTGGAAATTGACAACTTAGTAGCAGAAATTTAAAAACAAAAACAGAAACTAAAAAAACCTCATTAAGAGGATTGAAAGATTTTTTTTTTTTATTTAACAGAGATAGAGAGCGTACGTAGGCAGAGCAGCAGACAGAGGGAGAGGGAGAAGCAGGCTCTCTGCCAAGCAGGGAGCCCGATGCGGGCCTCGATCCCAGGACCCTGGGATCATGACCCGAGCCAAAGGCAGTCGCTTAACTGACTGAGCCACCCAGGCGCCCCAAGGATTGAAAGATTAAGTTGAGAAAATCTTCTGTAGAGTAGAATCACAAGACAAAGATATGGAAATCAGCAGAAGTTAAGAATATTCTAGAGGACCAGTATAGAAAGTCCAATATCTGAATAAAAGAAATCCCCAAGGGGGCACCTGTGTGGCTCAGTCGGCTAAGCAGCAACTCTTGGTTTCTGCTCAGGTCATGATCTCACGGGTTATGAGATGGAGCCCCGCATTAGGCTCCTTGCTCAGCAGGGAGTCTGCTTTAAGATTCTCTCCCCCACTTGCACATGTGCACACACACTCTAAAAATAAATCTTTAAAAAAAATAAAATTCCCAAGAAAGAAGAGAAAAAAAGAAAAAAATTGTAATGTAATTTGATAAAACTTTGAAGAACTAAGGCATGCAGGTTGCCAGATTCAAGGGGTCCCACACACTAAACACAGTGTGAAATTTCTGTGAAATTTCAGAAAACCACAAAGAAAAGATTATATAAGCTGTCAGAAAGGAGAAAAATCAAACAGGCTATATTCAAAGAATGAGAAATTAACACATTTCCAACTTCTCACCATAAGCAATAAAAACAAGACAATGAAACAATACTTTCAAAATTTTTTTTTAAAGATTTTATTTATTTATTTGAGAGAGAGAGAGAATGAGAAACAGAGAGCATGAGAGGGAAGAGGGTCAGAGGGAGAGGCAGACTCCCTGCTGAGCAGGGAGCCCTATGTGGGACTCAATCCTGGGATTCCAGGATCATGACCTGAGCCAAAGGCAGTCGCTCAACCAACTGAGCCACCCAGGCGCCCAATACTTTCAAAATTTTGAGGGAAAATGACTTCTAACCAAACTATGTATCAAGTGTGAGAAGAGAACAAAAATATTTTCAGATATACGAGATCTCAGAAATTCACATTCCATTCACCTAAGAAGTTCTTGAAGGATATCTTTCACCAAGTGGTATACAAGAAACAGAGGACTGAGTAGAGACCATCAGTGGAGGACCCCAAAATGACTACCACCAGACTGGAAGAAGTAGAGCTCAAGGGACAGACATATTGAAGATGTTCATCACTAAAAACCCTACTGCCATTAAACCCTCTTTGGTGTTGTTGATCTAAATATTTTAAATATATGATTATAAAATTTTCAAACATACTGAAAAGTAGGCCCTTGATACTCATCACCGATTCAACATATGAACATTCTGGTCTGTTAACTTAATCTACCCCCTTTTTTCTATTTTTCCTTTGTTCAAATGTTTTATAACAAATTCCATATCATATCATTTCATTTCAATGTACTTCAGAACCCACCTCTCTATTACCCATTCTCTAACATCACAATACTATTATCATACCTAGAAAAATTAACAGCAACCCCCTGATATCAGTCCACAATAAAATTTCCCCAACATCTCAAAAATGCTTTTTTATAATTAGACTATTATGGGCTGAACTGTGTCTCCCCTGACCCCCAAATTTATATGTTGAAGCCCTAAGCCCCAGTACCTCAGAATGTGACTATAATTGGAGACAGGGCCTTTAAAAAAGGAACTAAGTTAAAATGAGGCCTTCAGGGTGGTCTCTAATCCCACATGACTGATATCCTTATAAGAAGAAAACAGATTAGGACATCTAGAGAGACACCGGGGCCACATGTGTACAGAGGGACAACCATGGGAAGAGGGAGGAAGAGGGAGACCATCTCTAAGCCAAAGAGAGAGACCTCAGGGAAAATCTACCTGCCAGCACCTTGATCTTGGACTTCCAGCCTCCAGCACAATGAGAAAATTAATTTCTGGGGCACATGGGCAGTTCACTTGGTTAAGCGTCCAACTCTTGATTGCAGCTCAGGTCATAATCTCCGGGTCATGAGATCAAGCCCTAAGTTGGGCTACATGCTGGGCATAGAACCTGCTTAAGATTCTCTCTCTCTCTCTCCTTCTGCCCTCTCCCCAGCTTGTGCTCTCTCTTTCTCCTAATCCCTGTCTCCCTAAAAAAAAAAAAAAAATTAAAATCTAAAAAACTTAAAATAAATTTCTGTTAAATATGTGGTATTTCGTTATCAGCAAACTAATACAGAGACTATCTGAACCAAAAAAAGATTCATACATTATGCTGATTATAATTTTTAAGTTACATTATTTTTTTTCATGCCACTGACTTGTTGCAAAAGCCAACTCAGTCGTCCAACAATCTGCATTTATCTGTTTGCTTCCTTGGAGTGTCGTGTAATTTCTTCCATCTTTCCAATAAATCAAAGTTAGCTTTAAGGGCTTGATTAGATTTAGGGGTAAGAAAATTCCATAGATAGTAACTGCATACTCTCTTTTTAACTTGCCAAAGAATGATAGGTACACTTGGTCCAGACTCTTTTCTGACTTTATTTGTCTTGACCTTGTGCTAATGAAGCACTTGATCATCCCTTCCATGCTGGCTGTGTGGGTTAGCTGATGGCATTCACTTCATCCCACAGAGGAGTTCTGCTCTGACCTACTGCCTGACAGCTGGAGAAATGAGAGGTAGAGAAGACAGAATAGTCCATTCTCCGTGACCACACCCTACCAGATATTCAGTGCCTGACCCATCAGATGCCCTAATAATGGGGGGCTTTAAATTTCCTAGGATCCACTTACAACCTTGCCCAATGACTTCCCCATTAGGACCTTTTGTAACCTCTAGGGAAGCTAAAGCCAGACTATGAACCCAAATGAGCTGATTTTTAAACCTAGTAGTGGCACTACTGCCCTTTCCTCACAAAGCTTGCTAGATTTGTACTTGCTCCTTATTTTAAAAAAACTAACCAATAAACAGTTTAGTAATATAAACATGTGTGGTTAATCATAAAAAAAGTAAGGGAATGATCAACACAAAAGTCAGGATAAACACTGACTCTGGCAAGGAGAGAAGGGGACATGATTTGGGGGTAGAAGATACAAAAGCAACGTTTGAGGGACCAATAATATTCAATTTTATAAGTTGAATGGTGGATGCACAATTCTCATTTTATTGTTCTTCTTCAAGCTGTAAGTCCACTTTAGAACACTTTTTGGTATACATGATATGTTCCACAGTGATTATTTTTTTGGTGAGTAGTCCACTCTGGCTAGAACACAGGGTTTGAAGAGTAGAGAAAAGGAGAAAAGACTGGAAATGGAGTTTACGATGAAGGCAAATGGCTGCCTCAGTGATGCTCTCTTGGGAGTCAATGGCATTTATACCCAAGATCAATTAAAATAGCCCTCTCACAATCTATCCATCAAGAATGACAGAAAAAAATCCTTTTTTGTTTCTACTAAGTTACCTAGAGATGACATATCCAATGTTGTAAGCGTCTCACTGGGAAACATAATAATATGGTTTTGATGTATTTTTCCAGTGAAAGAAGAGTCAGCTTGCCCTAGGGAACACATTTGCCTCGAATTCTTAAGTGACACAAAGCTGGGAGGGATGTAGAACAAATGTTTTAGATGACAGAACTGGGATACATCTCGGTGAGCTGGAGTGACAGGTCAAATCTAGTGCACTTTATACCAACATCTACCACTTACTGAGACCATATGATATGCCACAAGCTTTACATAATGTATCCCGCGGAAGTAAGTGGCCTGAGATCACAAAGCAAGTCAATAGCAGAGTCATCATTTGAAACCAGATTTTCAGATTCAAATTCTAATCTCAAGTGAGATTTCAACTACCAGCAATTAACTCTTAAAAAACAGAATCTCCATGGGGCACCTGGGTGGCTCAGCGGTTAAGTGTCTGCCTTCGGCTCAGGTCATGATCCCAGTGTCCTGGGATCGAGCCCCGCATCGAGCCCCGCATCGAGCCCTGCATCGGGCTCCCCACTCGGCGGGAGGCTTGCTTCTGCCTCTCCCTCTCCCCCTGCTTGTGTTCCCTCTCTCGCTGTGTCTCTCTCTGTCAAATAAATAAATAAAATCTTTTAAAAAAAAAAACCAGAATCTTCTTTACGTCAGTCTGTCACCCTCAGAGAACTGCCACTCAACCCCCATCCCCTTGGGCATAAGCACCTCAGGAAAAATGATTAGATCAGACTGATGTCAGTCATTGATGTCACATTTGGGGGACCCTCTGACAGCTGCCAGGAAACTTCTCTCTGCCCTGAAGAGCAAGTCTGTCATCAAGAGTAAGGTGTGAGAGGATTCTTTCTGCACCCCATTCCCAGCTTGGCTATGCCTATTTCCCCATCTGTATTGAAGAGTTTGTAAAACTCATGATAGGCAGTTGTAGACAGGGGGGCCTTATCACAAAGACTGCTGAGCAAGACCCCTGAGCCAGCCTGATCTCCACCTTCAATTTTCTCTTGTCCTCAGGGCCACTGTGATTTGCTGGGTGTGTGTAGCCAAGAAAACAGCACAACCACCTCCAATGCACAGTCATATCCAGTGAGCAATCCTGAAAGACAGCCAGAGAATTTTAATGAAAACCAGAAAACTCTTGGCCACTAAGTCCAACTGCAGTCCAGGCCCGACAGCCCTTCCCCCCCTGCAGCCTAGAATCCCTGAGCCAGTTTCACCCAAAGAGCAGGGAGGAAAATCCATTCTGCATTCAGCAACATCTTCCAAGGCAGTCACTTTCCAGGGTCATTTAGGTGAGAGGCAAGGTACACGCTGATTGCAGGAGGACCCAGGGACCCTGAGAAGCACATGGTGCAGCAGCAACACATCTGAGCCAACAAATTATGAAACAGTCTATTTAAAAAAAAAAAAAAGCCTTTCCTTCTGCCAAAGCTGTCTGAACACAGCTGCATACAAGGCTAGTGAGGAATCTTAACAAGCTTAAAGGGACCGTATTTCAGATACTCCATAACCAAGGTGGAAGAAATGAGTATTGTGAGCACTTACTATGTGTCAGGCACTTTGATCTCATGTAACCTTCACTGTGAGGTGGGAATTATAAACTGCATGTAACATAAAAACACTGACACAGAGAGGCTAGATAAGTTGTCCCAGGGACCTAGCTGGCGAATAGAGAATCAAGGCCCAAAGTTCAATATGGGTGAGGCTCCTCAGGAATAAACTCAAAATTCCAACCTGTCCTGCCTAATAAAGAGAACAATCATTTCGGAACATCAGCTGTGCCTGGAACTCAACTAAGATTTCTGCATGTACTATATCATCTAAACCTCACAGTGACCAGATAAGATAGGGAGTCCTTATTATCCCCATTTTAGATGGGGAAGCTAAGGCAAGAGGTCAAGTAACTCAGCCAAGGTCATGACATTGCCAGGATTTGAACCAGGTCTATCTAATTCTGGAGCCCCATGTTAGAATACTCACTCTTAACAACTGACAGGAGAATAACGTAGGTCATCATACCGACCAAACAAGTTGCCCGAAGACTTCAGCCCCCTTCGCAGCAGGCTATCCACGTTCCAGGGTTACCTTTCAAGTCGTCCGAGCACTCCTCAGTGGGGGCACAGAGTCACTGGCTCTGGGAAGCCTGACAGTGACATCTGTACCTTCCTATGGACTGGGGGGCTCTGTTGACACTGCATGGGTGAAGGAGAAGGCTCCCAGCAATGATACCCAGATGCCTGTGAGTACAGAAGCTGACAGCTCCTTTCCGCAGGCTCTGCTGCACCGGCCCACCCACCTCACAGCAACTCCTCCCCTCCCCAGCAGCTCACAGGCCTATTTTGTATTCTTAACAAGAGACCATGTGCCTCCTCTTAGAGCAACCATGATTTCCCAAAGGAGACGACTGTCTAGACAGAGCATCCCAATCCATCTTGACAAGAAATGGGCCACACAATGTCAGGTTTGATCGTTTAGGGTTTTGGGGTCTGTTTTCAGCACCCCAGTGAAGGCTCTGGCCCTGGCACCTCTGGGTTATCAGACTGAACATCACACAGCACAACAGCTGATATCTGGGGTTAGAACTGTCTTCCCAACCAGGCAAGCATTACTGAGAGAAGATACAGGCATGATACACCCAGGCTTATGGGTCATGCACTCCCAGGCACACCACAGAAACCGTTCCTAAGATGTGCCAGGTACCATGGCAGGTGCACTCGCAGCCAATATCTTAATTCATACAACATCCAAAGAAAATATTCACAACATTTCATGAGGTAGATAGGACTGCTTTTTTTTTTTCTCTTGATAGGATTGCTTTTGTACAGATAAGGCATCTGAAGCCCAGAGAGGTAACATAATTTGCCCAAAATCACACAGGAAATGGCAACTTCAGAATCGAATCCATTTTTAATAGGACTCCAACACCCTTACACCCAGTCAATCATGAGCTATGTATTTATTCTGCAGCTATTTATTGAGCACCTTCTATGGGCACCTACTATGCCACATACAGAAAATATGGTTGCTAACATGATAGCCTGTGTCCAGTCACCAAAGAACTTACGCTCTTAAGAGAGGCAGTGCAGATCTGAAGGACAGGTACAAAATAATGAGATTAGGGCCTTTGATGAGTGATCAGAGCAGGCTTCTCTGAGGAAGTGGTATTTGAGCTGAGACCTGAAAGATCAGGCAGAAGTTACAAGAAGTGGGAGGGCTGGCTGCAGGAAAAGGCTTGTCATGTCTAGAGAACATAAAGGCCACCAGGGACCAAGGCTGAATGAATAATGGGGAAGAAAGAATATTTGAGATGACGCAGGGTCTTGTTGACCACAGAAAAGAGTCTCGATTTTGTTGTAAGGGCAATGAGAAATCAAAGAAGAGTTTTAATTGGGGGACTGACATGATCTGATTTGTGCTTTTGATTTTGATTTTGTTTTGTTTTTAAGTAGGCTCCACGCCCAATGTGGAGCCCAAGGCAAGGCTTGAACTCACAACCCTGAGATCAAGACGTGAGCTGAGATCAAGACTCGGACACAACCCATGGAGCCACCCAGACACCCAGAATTTGTGCTTTAAAGAGATAATTCTGCTTGCTGTGTGCAAGGAGGGGGCCGGAGTTAGGAATCAGGGGAGAGATGATGGTGGATTAGACCAGGGTGATGGTAGAAGAGATGGATTTTATATTTGGAGATAGGACTGAAAAGAGTAGCTGATGGACTGTATGTAAATAGTGAGGGAACAAACTCTTAGGTTCCTAGCTTGACCAACTGGGTGGACGGTGGTACTACAAGTATAATGAGAAAGACTGAAGGAAAAGCAAAATGCTCATGAGATAGCCATGCATTTTATTCTCTTTTACACCAAGAAGAAAGAGTAGACCCAGTTGTGTTTTTTCTGGGGAAGCTGTAAATTAAAGGCTTGAAGCTGCTCAACCTGGTGAAGAGGTGCTGGGAATGAAAATGGAGAATAAACAGCAAGAACCTGAAAGGTTGATCTAAGAAACAGGGGTTCCACGTACTTCATGTGGCCATCCATTACCAAGCTGGGACCCGTGGGTGGAAGGCAGACATAGGAGAAGCTCAGATGGATGTTGGATGGAGAAAGACAGTCAGAGTTGTGGAAAGGGAAATGAGCTGCCTCCAGGTGACAATGACTTCCCTGTCATTGGAAGTGTTAAAGAATAAATCAAATGACCCCTCGGCTGGACAGTTAGCAAGAAAATTCAATAATCAGGTGGGCAAATCCTTCTAAGCCTAAAATCCTTCTAACCCCTAGGATCCTGTGGTTTTAAGATACAATCTTTGTTAATCTGACCATTAGGGCTGGAGTTACCCCAAACAGGCAAAACTTCCTTGGTATGTCCTTTTAGAAGGCAAATGAGAATAACATTAGCTTATTTCAGCCACTATAAAGTGACTTCTAGTTTACTTCTAAGTGTCCTACAAGATGCTGAAAGTATAGTATATACTGATATACTTTTGCATAGTTTTGTAAAAGGCACAAGCTATGAATCAGATATCCCAGATCTGCAATTTATTAGCTCTGTGACCTGTGGCAAGTTATTTAAATCCTCTTGAGTCTCCATTACTCTCTCTGAAAAATGGGAAGACTAATGCCTAATTCAGGATGTTTGCTGTGAGGACCAAAGTCCACTACTGACCCATTACAGCAAGAATAATAATGATAACTAACATTTATCGAGTCATTGCTATATCCTAGTATGTACTATGTGCTCTCTGTGCATTTTTTTCACCTAATCTTTACGACAACCCAAGAGGGAAATACCATTGTTATCCCTGTTTTAAAAAGTAAAGATTTCTAGAGATTAAATAACTTGCCTAAGAGTCATATAGTTAGTAACTGCTCAACTGGAAAAAAAAAAGTCAACAAAAATGAAAAGAAAAAAAAAAGACAAAGAATACATATTTAGATAGATGTTTAGATATTTAAAAAATGTAACCTACTGTGGAACTTAACAATCAATTCACTGACTAGACATTTAGTAAATATTTATTGAACATATAAATGAATAACTGAATGATTAAATGATTCCAACAAACACATATTGAGTTCTTACCAGGCACAGCATTAAGAAACTAGGGTTACACAGAATTTACATTCATTTCATTGAGAGGTTGCCATTAAAACCATTATCTTCCAATCACAGATAAATTCAGATTATTTATCCATAACCCATGAAGAAAGGTCCTAAGATATGTCATTCTCAGACATACCAAAAGAAGCCAGAATTACTGTTCTTTCTTTGGGAGTCCAGCGTTAGAGGGGTGCTCAGAGTAGTAGCTGAAAACTAAGAGCACACAAATAGAAGCCAATGGAGGAGACAGTCTTGTAGAAAAGATGAAAAAGACTTCAATAGGAAGGAGAAATCTAAGAGAACAAAGCCTTTAAAAAAGGCTGACTTAACACCCAGGAGTTTGCTTATGAACTTCACTAGAATTGTGGGGAAAGAAACCAAGTCTCAAAGGGCATTTGGATGAACGGTTTAAAGAGGAAGAGGAGGTTGTCTTTTAAGAAGTTTGGTGATAAAAAAGAAAGAGAGAGAATAGCAGCCCCGTGAAGAGGAGCAGAAGGACTACTGCTAAGGAATCAAAAGGAAAGGAGAAACCAAAGACCAATGATACATGGAAGAGACACAAGGAAGAAAAAGAAAGACCAGACCCAGGGAAGTCAAGAGGGGTGGGATGGAATGCACAGGGGAGAGGCTACCCATGGGAAAGGAGAGATCATCTTCTGTTCTGAGACAGGAATGAATGAGGAGAGACTATCGTGGATGGACACTGTGAAAATTACTCTGAATCAAGCTGGATGGATCCCCAAACCAATCAAGTCAGGGAATACCATTTTAAGCTTAAAATGATATTGATTTCCTTGGGTCACTCATAAATAAGTTGGTATACAAAAAGTCAACCATCATTTGGATATAGTTCTACACGGTTAAAAATCAGACTTATTGATGGGCACCTGGGTGGCTCAGTCGGTTAAGCGTCTGCCTTTGGCTCAGGTCATGATCCCAGGGTCCTGGGACTGAGTCCTGAATAGGGCTCCTTGCTCAGCGGGGAGTCTGCTTCTCCATCTCCCTCTGCCCCTCCTATCTGCTCATGCTCTCTCTCTCTCTCAAAATAAATAAATAAAAATCTTTTAAAAAAAATCAGACTTATTGAGATGTGCTTAATATTCCATTTCTTTGGGGGAGGGAGGGGCAAAGGGAGAGGAAGACAGAGAATCTTAAGCAAACTCCATGCCCAGTGTGGAGCCCAACATGGGACTCGATCTTAAGACCCTGAGATCATGACCTGAGCTGAAATCAAGAGTTGAATGCTTAACTGACTGAGCCACCCAGGTACCCCTATATTCCATTTCTTA